TCCTCTTGCTACGAAAAGCAAAATCCAAACTTGCACAGTTAGTGGGCGTTCTTTGTTCTGTTTCAGTTTTCATATATACAAAACTTCTATTGTTCGTTGTGGGGCAGTTGGCACTAAGTTCTTTCCGATTATTTAAGAAGGGGGGTCTTCAATTAAATTTCGGGTAGGTCGTATCCTATCGATAGGGTATATCATGGGATGAGAATAATATGAGAATTCAAATTTTCAGGTTTAATCCTAGTATACGGTACACAGAGGATTTGGCGATATAATGATGAGTCATTTTGGTTTCGGTAACAAATTTCAAAATACAACCAAGAAATACAATTTTCAAAATAGCGCCGTATACTAAGATTTAACCATTTTATTATTCCATAAAATGAGAAAATTATTATTTTACGTTTTTACAGTAATTTATAGCAATCGTATTGAGTTTTAAAACCGCCCAATATATCTATGACGCACATTCATCGAATATTTTAAAGAATGAATATTTTCATCAAGCTCAAAATCTCAATACAAACGAAATAAAATGTTACAAATTATCAGCATTATTAGAAAATACAGAGGTAAAAAAGCAGGTTCTTATTCCTATGTATCTGTATAATTGTCTCGATCAAATAAAATAAATGAAAATTTAAAATTTGATTATTTCATCAGAAAGAATCTATGAAAAATTTTCAGTATGTTCTAGAATTTACTATGGATGACTTGAACAATATACAAAATCTATAAATAGTGAAAATGGTGCAACTTAACAATCAAAACACAGATGTTATCATATAACTTGAGAACGTAGAAGGTTATTTGAATTCATAAAAGCAAAAGCATTCAATTTACAATTCATTTAACATTCACAATATATAAAAATTAACTTTGTAGTTACTTCGGTTAAATGAAGTAAACAATAACTAACACAATTCAAAATTTCAATACTTTCGCATATCAACTTTAAGAATGCATAGTAACAACCGTTTCGAACATGAAAACATAATCAAATCATAGCATTTACCAGTAAATAAAGTATCGAATATTCTTATGAGTAACAACCCACCTCCTTGGGGTGGGAAAATTACCTTATTGTTAGCACCCTGGCGATGAAATGAACGATAAGTTATAAACGAAAGATATACTCCATTTTCAACCATTTTGAGCATTCGTCTAGTAGCTGAGTCGGCCATTCCAACCTTAACAACTACAATCGTTTGGCGAACGGAATTTCAATTTCCTGCTTCTATACAGTTACTGTACAATTTAATTTAGAATACTTTTCAGTCTATTATTTAGCAGTGTTCATTCTGATTAGGTTTAATGCAATTTCTTATAAACATAATTATAAATTTACAGACTATTTTTAGGTTAACAGTTTATCATCAGACTTTTTCTAGCGCTTTTATTAGACTGGTAACAGGATTTTGTGCTGCCTCGCTTTTCATTCCAGCTTCTTGCCATTCGAAAGAAAAAAAAAAAAAAAAAAAAAAACTTTTACATTCGATTTTTCTGTTATTGATGAACAAACTAAACTATTTAAAAGAAACGGATGCAGTTCTTAATGCCTTTTTTAAATTTTGAATCGCATTGATTTAAATAAAAATGCATTTCATTCAAGATGGGCACACCAGCGGCCGAGAGGTAGAGTCGTTGAACACTGGTAGTTCGGTCCGAGGTTCGAATTCCGCGAACGGGCTGGTTTTCCGCAATGTGTAACGTGTATACGAGACAGTTTCCCTTAGAAAGTCCTTCAGGCTATCATACATGCTTTACCATACTTTAATAAACCAAACCATCATTCAAGATGTATATTAGATTAAAAATATTCAATATGTTTAGATAATTACATTTCACACTTTTTCACCTTTTAAATATCAAGAAGTTATATAGCATTTCCACGTTAGTCTAAAAACATATTCATCTAGTATCCTGTAAAATGTTTCACTATTCCACCTGGGCCATCTCTATCGATGATTTCTACCGATAAACAATTCAAAACAGCTCTTTTGGGTGATCATTAACATTTGAACATCTTTAGATACTTTTTTAAAATTTCAGTTTATTATTATTTCTAGTTTTCATCAATATGTAAAGAACAACTTTCTTCTACTTTACAGAGTACATTCTAAATATTTTTAATAAATTTTAATGAAATAAGTGTAGTGGTAGTTTTATATTTTTTATTTATTTTAGAAATTATTCAATTAATTTTAATTTTTACATTTAAAAGAATGTTTTATTTTCATTCCCATCAGGTGAAACTGAAACAGTGCATTTCTAGAACTTTTGTTTCGTATTTACAAAATGTTTCTGGCACTTACCTGTGAAATATGACCTTTACTTTCAATTTCACACTTAAATAAACTGAATTTATGTACATCTCTCCTGAGGTCAGACAACATGGAGGAAGACAGGAATAAAGTACTATAGTCATCAACAAGGACTGTGGTAACTAGCATAGAAATCAAATTTTTCGAAAGTTACATATGCTCGACTTTTGGATTATCCAGTCTCCAGTACTAACTGTATAATTCAGATTTAATAATCCACATTTTTAGGGGGCAAGCATAGAAATTTTGGGTACAGATTTGCTTTTGCATATCTGATGAGAAGATGAAGGAAAAAAAAATGGTTCAGATTTTAACGGTCGCCTGAAAGAGTTTGTTAAGGTATTTTTATGCTCTCACTGAGCTCACAGCCTACCACTCTGCAGTTGAACTTATTCCTAATAATCCCCTCCCTTTCTCTCTCTCTCTCTTTTTTTTTTTTTTTTTGTCACATTAGCTTTATTATTAAGCATCATTTTCTCCACACTTATGTCACATACAATTCAACAGTTAAATTACAAAAATTTTAAAAGAAGCATAGCAGTATATGTTTAGAATTCCTGATGAGTGTATATGTTTAGAATTCCAGATGAGTGTATATGTTTAGAATTCCTGATGCATTAAGCATTGGCACACATTTTTATATTTTTTGTCGTTTCTCAGTTCATCACATGAACATTCAGTTATCTTAGTAAATGGTTTGCAAAAGACTTTTACAAAACGTTCAAACTGTTGAGTTTGTTAATCAGAAATTCATTAACATTTTACAAGATATGAAATTCAAAATTCCGGCTTCCTAATGGATATGTTCGGGTGGAGTAATACATTATTCAAAATTAGATGGCTCTAGGTACCATCATTCTTCCATAGTGTGAGAAATATACATATATATGTAATGATTTTAAAATGCGTAAATGAAAACAATGGAACTTTTAACAGCTTTGGATATTGTGTAGATGACTGAGAAGACCATAATGGCTGAGTGGAAAGCATGATGATGCAATTTAGCACAACATATCTTAAAAAATCATTTTTTTTTTTTTTTTCCATATATCAAATAATCCTTTTTCAGACAAGATGTTTCCTGATTATATTTGAATACAGTAAGCTGCATTTTCAAGTATGACGTCGTTTTAAGCAAGTAAGCGGCAACAGCATACATAAAAAGCACCTTGTTGGCAGGAGAGCTTATGCGGAAAAGGGGAAAGTATGATATAACTTCTGAGGAAGAAGGATGGGATTGGAAAAGTTTTGATTTACAATTAATTTGATTGGACAAGAGGCATCTGCATTAAAACGTTATGTAAGATAGAAAAATCTGGAACTTGTAAGAAGAGATGAATTTAGGGGCAGATCACCAAATTTAGAATGGTAATTTTGAGGTTGCTAATTATTTTTTTGAAACAGCTATCATATTTTGTTATATATACATGCATAATTCATTATTTAATTTCCTTAAAAACAATACAGGGCAATTATATTTGGCAGCAAAAATTTCAAAAGTGATTCGTTGCTTAGAGTGGACAATGGGAAATCTTGTTTCTAGATTAATGGCCCATTTGGGCTAATAACCTTTTAGGCTACTTAATAAATAAATAAAGTTGTAACCAACAAATTTCAAATTACAATCTAATAACTCAAAAATGGATAAAATTATTTTTAAAAATGGTATCTGATCTTAGTATGGCAAGGTGCTGTTATTATCATCGCTTATTGCGATCACAGTTTCATACCTGCAACAGCTCACGAAAATGATCAGACATTTTAAATTTCCAATAATAATGTTAAAAATTTTATATGTGTTACCAGCAATGTATAAAAGCAGGTATTGCATATGTTACAGCCAAACTCTGAAACCAGCCAGTCGTTTCGCATATACGCCAATATCCAATATTTTTTGGTTTGGGGCTGAAAGGCTAGTCATGATATTAAATGTATTTAGTAATACAGAGTATAGCATTTATTATCATCGCTTATTGCGACAACTTCTGTGACATTTCAAACTGAACAAACATTTCTTATTTACATTTGCAGCAATTTGTTGCACATTTAATCATGCAATTACATCAAGTATATTCTTGACTATACATCAATCATTAGACACAGTAGTTTGTAGTGATTTTGTTCTTCTGTGCTCATGAATTAAAGAATGAGCAGTTTCTTGTGCAGCATGGAAAACTTGCTTCTGAAGCACAGTTCCTTGGCAACACTGCATTCTGTTCTCAACTCGCAGAAAGTTCCCTCTATGTTATGTTTATGATGACTCAAGAACACTTACTGAATCACCCACCCCCTGCGAACATCTGATAGAGGGACACATACATTATCTCCAACTTTTCCTGGCGCAAGTTCTGCTTGTGAATTTCCAAGTATTTTAGTACTCTGAGCTTGCAAACTAGGTCAAGCAATGGACCTCTTCTTCATAAACTGCAAGTACATTTCCTGGTACTGATATGTTATCGCAACCACCTCAGCAGAAATCGCCAAGTTTTCAGAATGTGCCAAACTCTAGCAGCCACGGCCATACCAGTCTTTCAGTCAAGCATGGCTGCCACTTTTTTATGCAATTTTTTTTTTATCTTATTCCAAGTTTCAACACTTTTTATAAACAAATCATGATTTTTTTGCCTTAATTATAATTAACGTAGTCATTACAACTTAAAAGAACACATGAACAAAGACTAAGAATAAACATTTTTATAACAGTCTTTATTAACAAATGATAAATGATATTGACAATGAGATGTGAAAATCATACAGCTGAACATCAGCCCGTTTATACAGTCAACAATTCTAAAATCGGTGCGATGAAAACTGGAAATATAACATATCTCAAAAAGATGATTTTAAGCTTATTTAACAACCCTTCATTCTCCTCAACTGACTTTGCACAAATTTAATAAGAATAGCACCATGGACTGCAGAAATATCACCATCAGTATTCTGCTCTGGTATCAGTTGAACTCCTTTCTCCCAACTCCATAGAAAGCGTTTGCTAAAGCATGATCTGAAATTATAAACATACGTTTTGAACTTTAAAGAGCTGCTGTGAAATATTTCAGTTTTCATAACTAGTTCCTAATAACGCAAAATTATTAACTAGTTATACAGAAGTTAAAAATGTATGCCTTGCACAAAAAAAGGGGGGCGGGGAAGGACAGTTTTAAATTTTATATTTCCTGGTCTACTAGATTTATTGCTGAAATTTAACTTGCATTTTCTATGTCTCCAAAGTACAACTTAGGATATATATTACAAATTACAACATAGGATATATAACAGATTTAAATATAGCTTTATTCTAACATATGTATTTTGACAGAAAATTGGACTTTTTCTGATATAACATACCAGTTTTTTTTTTTCCATATTTTTATTCTATGACTCAAATTATGTCAAAGTGCCAACAGTTGTTTCTTAAAAATCGCACAAATATTTTTTTAAAAATTGGCTATCAAAATTTTAGTTCCTCCACGTAAATTGAATTTGATATATATTTAGTAATAGCTCTTTTTCTATTAAACTTATTTGATTCTTCCTTTCACATTTTGAAATTTAGAATTAAAACTCACCCATTTTATACAATTATTTTTTAAATTTGTATTTTTAAATAGTTTTCATAAATTTTTCTAAAAAATTTTTAATTATAACCTAAAAAAATTTTACCATCATCCATCTAAAATGTACTTTTAAGCGTACCCACAAGAAATTAGAGTTTTTTATTCAAAATTTCTTAAGATATATCTGAATTTACAGTTTGGCGCATTTAAGTTTCGCATATTCATTATAAGCGATAATATCGTCAAATGTGCTTTACGTGCTTTGTTACAAAATTACAAAATTTAATATATAGGCATAATTTGAGTAGTAGAATCGAAATATGGAAAAAAATTGGTATAATATTTCAGAAAAAGTCTGATTTTTGCTATATATAAATCTAACATATATCCTGTCGCGTTTTCAAGACATGGAAAACACAAGTTAAATTTCAACAATCGGTCCAGTAGAACGAGAGATATAAAAGTGCCCTCTTTTTTTTTTTTTTTTTTTTTTTTGTGCAAGGTGTAAATTTATCCGTACAGTGGTCATCACTTAATGTGATCACTATTGTTCACGGCTATTTTAATAACATTAAACAAAGAGGAAAAAAGTATCCTTCAAAACAGCAATGAAATTTAAACAATTTTACACAAACATAACTAAAAACATACAAATTAGTACTTTCACAGCATCTTAAATAAGAAAACAGAAAAAGTCTGTTTATGAACTACAAAAATAAAGATTGTATAAAAACTAAAATTGGTACTTGTGTATGAAACTGTTGCCAAGTAGTGCGATTTATGGCCAATTATGGATAAGCATGATGTAAAAACACAATCATAATAGCCGCACTTTCATTTGATGTAACCCTTATTGATTTTTGATAGTCCATTTTACTTTTATGAACAAAGATATAAATAAATCGTTACTTCTCAAAAAATGATTAAAATTCGGAACTCAGTTCAATAGAACAGTAAGTACAGATTATTTTCAAAGTTATGGATAAAAAAAAGATTAAAAAGTATGCTTTAATAGACACATAAATATCACTGACAAAACAGTGACAGATTTGAATAATTATCTACACAAACAAGTTTCTACCCATAACGTTTTTAAACAGAACTTTTGGTAAAATCGGAAGATCTAACAAAACAGTAGAAATAGATAAAAGACAAAGACTCATGAAGTACGAAAATGAAATGGGTTGAATATTGATTTTTTGTTTTATTACAAAAGCACGAGTTAATTCACATTTCTGCATAAAGTTTTGCTGCAACTCTGGGATCTCCTCCAGCATTCATGGCTTGATGGAAGCCAACTTTCATACAGATAACTTTCATATGATAATACATAAGTACCTTATAAGTAAGTTTTCACCTGTTTTATCTTATATATTTATTTATAGTCTTATTTAACAATTTTCATAGGTTCTGTGTTTAATTCTGATAAGGAAAATAGTTTCGGTTCATGAACATTTTAGATGACGAAGGGCCTTCAGGAACAAATTCAATTTGTAAACCAAGGGTTCATTTGTACAATTATAAGAACACAGAAATCTCATAAAATAAAATATTTTATATTTTTTTTCAGCACTGATTTTTTAAAAAATAGCAAAAGATGAATATCTGCATAATTTGAAACATTTTAGTGATCAGAAGTATGCATCTACAACCAACGGTTGCGAACATAAAGCTTTCTGTAAAAATGCCATGTGAGTGTATATATATATATAATGTCATGTGTATGTATATGTATAAGATAAAAAATGTAAATCAGCTTTTTTAATTTAATTTAAAAATAGCCTTTTAATTCCTCATTTTTAGACTGCATCATTTCTAGATTAATCTATAACACAAAGCTTGCATAACGTTGATGATGTAATCATTTCGGAACCTAAACTCTGAAAGCAGAAACTTTTTTAATCTAAACCAAAACCTTTTTCTTAAGAGACTATCATATTGGATAAATATGTACTTTTAGCTTTACCCTCTGTGCTGCTTGGATGTTACTGTGCTCTCTTCCAGTCACAATAGTATTAAAAAATGTAAATGTTCTGGGAATAGGCACGATTAGAATGCCAAGTGTACTGTGGCCACAAATGTCAATTGGAAATAAAAGTGGAATTAAACCGCCTCGACTATCAAGTTTCTCAGTGATCAGGAATTCAAGATTTTAGCATTCTAGCAAAACAGTATTTTTCCTCTTCAGTATGGAACTATGCTCTTTGCCTAACAATATGGCTACATCTTTTTTTGCTTTTTTATCGCATACAAATAACAGCAGATCACACTAGAAAAGGAGTGGGCATGTGGCCCACCAAGACAGTTAGAAAAATCTGTCTAAAGATTCACTCTGAAGATACACATTTGAAGTAATTTGTCACTGAAGATTCATATGGTATTTTCCACTAGGACGGCCATGTCAATATGCATGCGCAGTGTAGACATGATGTGGCGTGCTTTTCCAGTTGATCTGGCTAATTTCAGAATTGTCTGGCAACAGTAAATATATAAATTCCTAACTTCACTGAAACCATGTGTAGAGACATTAGGATTTTTTGGAAGCAACAAAGATGAAAAATTAGCAACCGCCTTCGCCGAGAATCGAACCACGGACATCTGGAATACTGGCTCAGCGTGCTACCGTTACACCACGAAGGCACGCTAGGAAAGTTGGAGAAATACCTTATACATGAACAATCCGAAAACATGTAAAATTGGTAATAAGTATTGTGTGTTTAATGAAGAATGTACAAATAAATATTTCTTTGGTGATAGAGAGGAAATAAAGCAGCATGTTTATTGTGTTTTGAAATAATAGCCGCATTTAAAGAAGTAAAATCTAAGAGGACTGCATGAAATAATAATTGAATTGAAATTAGTACAATAAATAAATAGAATAAAACTGTCATTATTTAATTTATATTTATTGAATTTTATGGTACAATTTACATCTTTTCTGAAATGCAAAGTTAACTAATGAATGCAATCATTTTTAAAAAGTGTGGTCGCCCTCCACTAGCCTCAACTTCCACAAAGTGGCCCCCAAGCAGAAACAATTGCCCTCCCCTGTACTAGAAGGCTACCCATGAAGAAGAGTAATATCTTATCTTTCCCTTTTTTAAAACATCAAATAATACTACTTGAAAAAAATAATTGTGCTAATTAACATATTAAAACTAGTTATAATAAATAACTTACTGAAAGTTTGCATTAGCAGCTTCTTGTCGCTCAAAAAAAGATACATTTTCCCTAGTGTTAAATAAGTATTTCTTTCTATTAGTTTTGCTATATGCAGTAACCCATGGATCTGAAAACACACATACATGAACAAATAAATAAATAAATAAATAAAAAATTCAAGTAAATAAAATACATACTTGCCAACCTATGACACTCAAAAATCAGGAGATTTTTTTTAAGAAATCAGGAGACTTTTCACAATGTTAAAAAGACTTTTTAAATGATGAAAATATAGTTTATTAATAATGAATTTAGGAATAATGATTTATTTTTCAAATCCATTTCTTTAACAATTGCACCTGTTTTGGTTCTTGCACTTGAGTATTTCTTAGTGATTTCACTATCGGGAAACATTTTTTATAGATAAAGCTGCAGCGTGATCCGACACATTCAGTGGCAGGTTTTGCTCCAGTAAAAAGGCAGAGAACAGACATTCTGTATTAATAACTTTTTGGTCCTTTGTTAAATTTAATTTTTTGTTTTTTTCAAAACAACTCATGTTGTCCTTGTGGTTTTGTGTACGCACATGTTTGAAAACATCCGCTCTTCCACCATGCGAAATTGAAAAATTACGACGACAGGCGGTACACATCGCAAATTTATTACATTTCCTTGAGGAAATAATGGAAGGAAAGTCAACTGTGTACGATTTTTGAAACATACACGAGTATTTCACCTTTCTCACACACATAATAAAAGATGATAATTTCTAAAACTATTTCCCGAAGGCACGTATACTCACACAACTCAGGACAAAATGACCGAAATAACTAAAGAACATCCAAATAACAGCTTGCTTTGTCGTCATTTGGCTAATATATGGCAGATGACACGCAGTGGAGCACGATGCCCATTGAAGAACTGGAGAACGACGTTTCTCGATGCGTATATACTCTCACTCACAAAGCAGAAGTGATCTAATTCGCACGGTTTTGTTTTAGATATAATCTAGAGAAAATTCAATTGCTTTCAGACGTCCAAATTCACTTTTTTTTTTTTGTTTTTTTTTTTTTTTGTTTTTTTTTTTTGTTCATATAACAAAGTATTAAGCCAAGTTCCATAAAAATCGTGAGAAATTTTAAGAATAAGAAAAAGTCGGGAGAAATATATTGTAAATCGGGTTGGCAGGAGAGCAGTCGAAAATCGGGAGTCTCCCGCCTAAATCGAGAGAGTTGGCAACTCTGAAAATATAAAAGAACAAATATACTGAATTGATAACCTATTGTAAGGAATTCAGTTAAATGAATTCATAACATTTATGTAACTTCTCCAGTTACAAATTAAATGCTTTAAAAAATTTGGAAGAGACTTTTTCAAATACATATTGAAATGCACATGTTAAACAAATACACATATAAAAAAACTTCACATTTAAACCATCAATGATCATTAATAAACCATTTCACTGTCTTTTGTCATTTTACAATGCATAACCTAAACTTCTTTTTTGCAACCAACAGCTTTTTAAACACCATTCTGAGGCCTTTAAAGAACTGTTATGAGTACTCTACAAGTATTGTTACTTGAGAGAAATACTGATTGCAAGCTCTGTATGCTAGTATCCAGATAAATAAACAAACAACTACATCTCAAATAATTTAAGTCTTTACTTTGTTAAATGAATCGCCATGGTGTTAATTTAAAATGAAATTATATCACAGTAAACTATTTTCAGTACTATTCTGCTTTACCACTTGAACAGCGCATTTTAAGTACAAGATTTTCTGATCTGTACAAGCTGAGTTACTTTTATCTATATACATTAATGAATAGTTATTTTTCTATTTTATTGATGTATTAATAAATAAATATAAGGAAGGAGGATGGATTTGAAATTTGCCATTAGCGATTGAACTGATTCATTTAGTTACAAAATCTCACTGGTAAATTTAGGTAAGCAGCAAGAACTCTCAAAATTGATGCCATTCTTAGGAAGCAAACATGAAAAGAAGCAATTATTGATCAGGCAACACAATAAGGAAATACATAGTTGATGATAAAGAGATTGTTAGAATTAAGAACTTTTTTAGAAGATGTAGATAACCCTAATGTTTCACTGTGGAATGATCTTGCAGAATTGGAAACTCTTCGTTCGACACCGTATATAGCCACAAAAAAAGCTGCAATCTCAAGAACTGACAGGAGGCGAGAATGGAAGAATATGATGTTTGTTCTTTCTAAAATGAAGGGTTTCTTGCTAAAGGAATCATTTCTTCAATGAAGAAAAGAGGAACTAGTTTGCTAGACAATGAGATCTTGCTGGGTTCAATATATGTAGATTTAAAACACCGAATTTTCTTGCATGAGGAACAAATTAAAAAGGCAAAGAAAGCCATGTATGAATTTTCATTAAAAATGAAAATATTTTCAGAACAATTAGAAAACTCGAATCAGGACAGTCATACTGCAGACATTGCAATTGAAGACTGTATCATTCTCTTCCAAAGATGAATTAGATTTTGAGAAATATTTTGGATAATATTGCTAAGGCAAAGCGAATGAAAATAAAGAACCAGGAGCCTTTAGATATAAAAATGAAAAAATACAAACAACATTTCTACACGGCCTTTGAAGGAATAGAGAAATATGATTGTGCTTGCAAGACACCTCTTTTAGAACTTATAAAAAATATATCCTGAAAAGTTAAAAGAAGTGGCCCTAACAGTAAGAGCTCTTCTTCCTACTCAAGTACTTTCTCATATATATATATATGAGGGAGTCGGAGTCTTTAAAATTCCAGGAATTGGTCATTTTCCCTACCGACTCCACAGCCCTGATACTATATATATATTATTATATCAAAATTGGATAGGTTAAGCATTTTAAAAAAAATGTTCTGAATTTCTGCTTTAATCACAATTTGTTTCAATGGTTCAAATGAAGGAAAAAAATGTTCTACAGGTTGAAACTTAATTTGCGGACATATTTATTATTATTATTATTTAAATACTTCATTTTACAAATTATGCTGAGTGCCTTCACATCTTTTTGAAACAATGGATAATTTTATGATTAAAATGTGAAATAGAGAAAAGAAGAACAGCAATCATGAAAAACGGCCAAATTGTTTCAAATTTCAAAAATATATAATAAAAAAGAGGTTCATAAATTAAAAAAAGCATTAAAAGTACAACATTTAGGACTGAAAGTAATTTACCTTGTGTTGTTTTGAATATAAGTAGACCAGTTGGTAAAATGTGACGACCATCACCTAAATCATAACATAACCTAGGAACCATGCTATTTTTTGTATATTTCATAGTTAGGCTGAAACATAAATTACAGAACGATTTTTAAACAATTTAATAATAAAGCAATAATAATAACTACAAAATGGATGCTCTAACCAAAAAAAGGGGGGACACTGCTAAAAAAACTCCTGCCTTTATAACGTCTCAATACAAAATAAAATGCATTAAAATTTGTGTTTTTAAAACTATCTAAGATGCTATTTTTCATTTATTTCCACCTAACCTGAACTTCCTTTTTGAAAGATTATGTCAGGGGTTCCAAGTGCGGTTGTTATGGATTCCTTGGAGGGGGGAGACAATGGAATTTTAAAAGGGGTCTGTGATGATCAAAAGGGGTCAACTGGGGGCAAATCCAATACCAACAGATAAACATAATCCCACTAATTACAAAAATTGCATTAATAAAATTGATAATTAAATATTTTTTTATATAAAGTTTTATCTTACGAAAAAATCAAGCCTTATTCAAAATACATGGATACATCCTTTTTTGGAATTTAAAAGTTCTCTGAGAGAAATAACCCAAAGTTTAAGTTATTACCAGACTAACATCAATGATTTTTTCCTCTTCTTACCTAGTGAAAGCAGGCTAAACAAAAAAACAAGTAGAATATTTCTGAATGAAATGAGCATGCAATAAGCATAAGGTAAGCAATTTTATGACAAATATTCAAAAGAAAACTGCATCACTACATTAAGCATTCATTAAAATCAAACTTTTAGGCAAGAAGATTTTGATTTTGTATCTGAAAACTTGTTTACATTTGTTAGATTAAAAATATTGTTAATACAAAAATAATAAAACAAATTTAATAAGCCCTCTTTTTCAAAACCTCTGTTCATATTCTTAGTTTGATTGTTATCTGTAAGATGGTTAATTACGAAAATAATTTTTTAAAGGAATCAGTACAAGAAAAACATTGGGTATCCCTAGATTATATACTGGTGCAATAAAGTCTCTCCCCCCTCCAAAAAAAAATAATAATAGTACAAATGAACATAAATAGTAAGGCAGACAACAAAAAGGTAAGAAGTTCACATATGCAGTCGCCATAATTTCAAACTAAAAATCGACACCAGACAGTCCAGCAATTAAGGTGAAACGGCATGATTGACATGAAGACAGAAACAATAATTTCATGGCCAGTGCCAAATGTATTGAGCAATCTACACTGTATATGTCAGCAAAGCCTCTTGGTTTCATACAGCTCATCAACTAATGATTTTGCAACCCCTCTGATATCGTCTTCAACTTTAACAAATCACAGGATGTAAAACATAACAGAAAAACTAAAGAAATGTGATTAATTTAGTCTTCAAAATGTAGCAGTTAAAGCATATACCACAGAACATTCTGAAAATCTCATCTAGAGAGGTTAGAGGCTAAGAAGACAGCCAGCTAACTGACACACCACTAAATGTCTTCCAGAAGTTCTTCAAGAAGTGAGTATTAGGGACCCATGCTTTGCCTTGGTAATGCATCTTCTCATTCAGCAAGGTGGACAGTCGAATTTTTTCGGACAAAAACACATCAAAGCAATAGAACATCCATCCTATTCTCCTATGTGTGACTTATTAATATCTAAGGCTATTTTTTAATCTAAAATAAAATTTACATGATCAAAAAATGGATGGCTGAAGCATCGAATATTTAAAAAAACATGTGCAGCAAGCCTGTTCATTCGCTAGGTATCAATTACCAGAGTTCCATAGTTTTATGTACTTGATTGCTATTAAGTTAATAATGAAGAATGTAATATTAAGTTGACAAGAAATTTTTAGACCTACTTCTAATGCCTCAACTATGGGGGTGGGGCAAGGGACAAGGAGAAGAATTTTTAAGAGATTTAAATTAATTTTCTAATAAAACAGTTTATTCACTACACTAAACACTTGAAAGCACTGAAAAGTCTGAAATAAATAAAAGGTAATTTTAATGTTATATTACTTACAGCGTTACAAACGATTTCACATACCTGTAATTTCCATACCTGTTGGGAATCATGGTAAGCACAATGTTCCTTGGTGGTCTGCCGAAATTTTTTGTATGAGAAAAAGGCTTAATGCTTCTAGGCGTAGATTTCAGCGTTGTAAAATCCAACTTTATAAAAGTAAATATCTTGAATATAGAAAAGTTTACAATCTAAAGCTTGCCGATGCTAAATCTCAGTCTTGGAAAACATTTCTTTCGACCATTGATGTTCACAATGTATGGAAAAAGATTTACACATATGGAGTTAAAAGAGATTTCATGAAAAAATTGAAATAACTGGTATTTGTCTTTCCACTGGAGAGACAACCAACTCTTTAGAAGAGACAATTACTGCTGTGCTTCAGAAATCTTTCCCCTCGGATCTGTAGAGGAAAATGATGATGATTTGCATAAGGAATACCGTCAAGCTGCGCGTACTGCTTATTCTTCTTTTGTAGATCCTATGTTTTCTTGTGATGAAGTTAATACAGTTATTTCTATGCTGGAACCAAATAAATCACCTGGTCCTGACTCTATTTCGAATGAGATTATTAAACAGTTTCATTTAATGTTTCCTCAATTTCTCCATAAACTTTTTAACGTTTGCTTAAATGTTGGCATTTTCCCACGTGTTTGGAAACATGCTCAAGTAATTCTTATTCCTAAAGGAAATGAGTCTAGGATTCCTCACCTAGATAACCTTAGGTGTATAAGCTTACTTCCTGTTTTGGGTAAGTGCTTGGAAAAACTTTTTATTAACAGAATTTGCTGGTATCTCCGCCATAGAGACCTTCTTTCTGGTAATCAGTATGGTTTTACACCTCAAAAAAGTTCTGAAGACGCTCTTTTACGCTTGAATGAAATTGTTCAGAGAGGAAAAAAGAAAAACTTGCACACTATTTTGGTCTTTTTGGATATTAAGGGCGCCTTCGACTATGCGTGGTGGCCTTGTATTCTCAATCTTCTCAAAAAAGTGGAACTTCCAATGAATATTTTTTCACTTGCTGCTGACATTTTAAATTATCGGACGGCCAAAGTGCAACTGGGCTCGGCTTCTGCAATCCGTCACTTTGTAAGGGGTTGCCCTCAAGGCTCAGTTTCAGAACTTAACGTTTTGGAATATTATTATTAATGATCTCCTATCAAAGCTGTAAAATCTTGCTTGTTGTGATACTATAGTCCTTTTGCGGATGATGTTTTGTTTTGCTTCCAGAGTAGGGACCTTTCTGATACATTTTTCCAGGCACAAGAGACTTTAGATTTCGCTTCCAACTGGTCAAAAGGTTTTAAATTAGAGTTTAATCCTGATAAAACCAGGGTTATGATTATTGAAAAGCGAAACATCTGTTATGATGCATTTCAGTTATCTCTCGATGGCACCCCTTTGACTGTGGTAAAGCAAATGAAATATCTTGGGGTTTTTCTTGACTGTAAATTTTCTTGGAAACAACACTTAACTTATGTATCAACAGAAATGTGATAAATTACAGCGTGGATTAAGTCGTATTGCACGCAACACATACGGTATTAATTAAAACGTTCATTCGCTCATCTATAAACAAGGAATTGCCCCCTTCATTATGTATGGCTCTAGAGTCTGGGGTATATCGCTCAAGAAGAAGATAAATTATAGATATTTACGATGTGTTCAAAGGCGGATACTTCTGCGGGTCATATGTGGATATCGTACCGTAAGCTATGAGTCTGTTTATGCAATTTCTGGCTTTCCTCCAATTGACATTGCCATTCTTCATTCTATTGCTTATAAGGAAAATATTTCTGCTTCTACTGTCTCTCAGTATGATTGTATATTACCTCTATCTGATCTCCCTCATCCTTCAGAAAGAAATGCTGTTAATTTTTATTCAGTTTAGCAATAAAATCGTAGATGATTCGCCTGTAACTTGCTATACTGAATGGCAGCAAAATTGATGGCAAGGTTTGGTCTCGCATTTGTTGTCTTCAAAAATGGTCTTGAATTTGAGCACTTTCAATTTAGAATCAGAGATGAATGTACCGTTTTCATAGCTGAACTTTTGTGCTTAAACTTCGGCCGTCAAATGGGTCTCTAAACAAAAACAGTGCTGTTTCAGACTATCTCATTTGTACTGATTCCCTTTCATCCTTGGAGATCTTAAAATGTATTTCTTCTTCTAATAATATCATTATCGAGATTCAAAAAGAACTGAAAAATCTAAAGGATAAAAATATTTCGGTTTCATTTTCATTTGTTCGTGGTCATACAGGTGTTGTTGGGAACGAACGAGCCGATTTCCTTGCTAAGACTGCGACTAAGCGGGAAATTGACACTTTTGTCAATATTCCTAATTCCTTCTATAAGAAGGTCATTGTATGAAAGCATTGTGGAGTCGTGGAATCACGAATTTCATTAATTCAAATAAAGGGAGCAGTTTAACTAGAAGATTTTTCCCTTCTATTCAAAATGAGATTGTCGTGTCATCATTTCTTCACAAATTATAAATTAACCCAGTTTCTTACTGGACATGGGAATTTTAAAAGTTATTTGAACAGATTTAAGTTGAGTCCTGAGTCTGTCTGTGACTGTGTCCTCGGCGGCGAGGAGAATGTAGAACATGTGCTTCTTCTATGTCCTAAATATGAGAGCGAAAGAAAAGTCTTGAAACTGGGACTGAAAAATTTTAATATTAACTGACCTCCAGAGTTTTACCAATTTATTTCCGAGAGAAGTGCTTTTAAGTCTTTTTGTCAATTCATTGTAAAACTGTGTAATCATCCTTAATTTTATTTCAATTTTCTCTTCTGTTTAGTTTGTATTGTGTTTCTTACTTACTTCTGTAAGCCCCATGTGATACTATGTGGTACATGGGAAACTTGTTGTGTTTCTTAAAAAAAAAAAAAAAAAAAAAAAAAAAAAAAAAAAAAAAGATTTCACAAATTAAAACAGAAAAATCTTTTTGGGGGGAAGGGGGATTTAAAAATACATCAAAAAGGTATTCTAAAATCAGGAAGGGGGGAATAATATTCTGAATACAGGAAATTCAGTAAATGCAAGAAATGGCAGTAACTTGCCAATAAATACTTGCTTTCCTTTTGGCAAATTTTTTAAGTATGGGATAAATCTTATTCCACAGTAATATCTCTACTTCTATTGTCTCGAATTCTGTCACTTTGCCCTAATTGTATTATTGCATTTATTTGATATAATACTTTTTAAAATTGAAATGCACGAAAACTACATTTTCATAATTAACATAATTAATTTAAGTTATACGACTACTCACTTTTCAAATATTTGATCTATTTCAGAAAGCAGCCACACTTTTTTTACCCTCAGATATGTATAATCAGATCTGCTTGGTTTAGAAACAGCTTTAGCAAGTTTTGCAGCAAGTAACATTCTGAAATAACATACAGTTACTTATAAAACATTAAGAAATCCTTCCTGTTAATTACATATAATCAAACTTTCCTGCTTATTATTATGAGAAAAACTACATATTACTTTGAAGATATGATTTTCTCTCAGCATTGAAAGAAATTTACCTTATATGAAAAAAATCTTTCCTACACTAAATCAATTTACACAGATCATGCTGATAAAAAATATGCCAGGCTAAGAAAAAAATATAAAATAAAATCTAATTAGAAGCAAAACTGAAGAAATATAATTTGCTTCATGACTGGTGGAGGAGAAACGAATTGTTTTTGTTCTTCATGACACTATATTCCTATAATAAACTAAATAGTACTTTTCTGTAAACGAAATCAGCTGAAAAAGGTGTTGAATTCTTTGCTAAGTAGTTTACCTGGTACACATTATTTAGCATTGAAAATCTACAAAATGGTATTTATTGACTTTTCCTTTTGAGTGATGAACACATTCAGCAGTAATAAACATCAAAGCCTCCCTAAAGACAGTATTCTTGATGGAAAGTACTAATTACAGATTATTTATGTTTTATCTGAAAACAGGAAATTCAGTAAATGCAAGAAATGGCAGTAACTTGCCAATAAATACTTGCTTTCCTTTTGGCAATTTTTTTAAGTATGGGATAAATCTTATTCCACAGTAATATCTCTACTTCTATTGTCTCGAATTCTGTCACCTTGCCGTAATTGTATTATTGCATTTATTTGATAAAATACTTTTTAAAATTGATATGCATGAAAACTATATTTTCATTATATACCTCTTTTTTAAACAAGTATTTTTATAGCCCTCAGTCCTAATTAAATAATAATTATATGTATTTGTATATAAAGTTAGCTTACACATTTTTCTGTATTTTTCTAAGGTTCTACTTATTGAGAAACTACAAGGTACTGCTGAATTTGATAACTGCAAAAAATATTGTTTGATCACTATGTGCATGACCATGAGCAAAAATATATGTGCATAAATCAGATTGATTTATTTATGCGAGAATATGTTTATGCTTAACACGGATAGCTTTATTATGAAGTAAAACTATGTTGAATCAATGTCCCTCTCCTATAAAACTTTTTTTACCATTATGTCATCTCATGTATGTATGTTATCTTCTACTCTCCTCAAGTCATATACAAAATTATTACATATACACACACACACATTTATGTATATATCAGGGTACAGGTTTTAAGATATTAGAAGATAATCAAAATATTATTTACAAAAATATTAAGGCTAATACAGTCAAAAGTCTTTAACCCAGACTCGTCAGAACTTCGGAGATTCCGGATTATAGATAATCAGTTTAAATCTGGTAAGATGGCATGCAGAAATTATAAAATTAAAAATATGAACCTGTAATTTATGAAATAAAGAGCAATTATGATCTAAAAGGTATAAAAATTTACAAAAAAAAAAAAAAAAAAAACTTAATACTTATTTGTTTACTTTATTAAGCATTTCTTTCAACATGCACATGCGTAAAGCATACATTACACATAGTCGAAATTACACATAGTCCGTGATATTTATAATGACGAGGATATTGATTTAAATCATATCGGAGAGCATCGAGATGAAACACTGCATTTAGTATGGAATTATAAACCGAATAAAATACAAACATCTCCCCTGAAGATGAGGTTAGTGCTGACAAACCAACTTCCAGTTCATGGCGCGCCACGACGTTGCCCCCCCTTCCCCCGCAGAGCAGCGTGAAATTGCTAAACAGATTTCGGAATGGTTAGAGAAACAAGGATATCCTTTATCCATTTTTTTGCAGCAATTCCCTTTTTGTTGATGAACATCGAAACATGCTTTCGCTTTGTAGATGCTTTGGTAGCTCCAGAACCGGAAATTCTTATGAAATACTCAAATTAAGCTTACTTTTAAAATGCTCTAACAGTGCAAAAAAATACGACCATCCAATTAGAAGATTAAGGACACAATCTGCAACATTCCTGAAAGATAATAGAGCTTTACTGTTAGCTTACGTGCTGCGTAAACTATTAGTGCATGCAAAGTATATCCATGCGTAAAGGTATTATGTGCATGCGATCACAGTATGTAACGCATGCACAGAAAGTTTGTAGCTTTGAGGTCCAGATTATAGATCATTCCGGATTATGGATGTCCGGATTAAAGACTTTTGACTGTATTTCTTATTTTTTAAAGCATTTCGACTGTCAAAGAGAAATGAACCACATTCTTAGATTACATGATGTGAATGATTTTCAACATTTACAAACTTGTGTGTAAAATGATACAAAACTGTTTTTTAAATTACTTTCAAAATTTAAACTTTTTGTCATAATTTCTTCACTTTTAGCCCAAGCCTTACTTTTACAAACTTAGTTTATTATTTTGTTACAGTTCCATATTTAAAAATTTGACTGCACCTATTTTTTTTTTTTTTTTCTTTCGTTCTGGAAGAGCGGCTTATTTTTAAGTACACTCTGATCTAACCATAGTGCTATTGCCTTATTTTAGCTGACGGGTTTTGAATGAATTTATCGTATATTCCAGATCCATATGAATATATAATTTTACAGAAGCATAAAAATCATTTTGCATTACATAACCAATTACTGGTCTTTCCCAATGGTATCGACCAAATTCTTAGTTTTCAGTTTTAGACGAATGCCACCATCTCTTTTCAGGGTTTATAAAAGCAAGGGTGGATGTTCTTTCTTCACTGCAATGTTCCTGATTGCACAGATTTTAAAACTGTCCGAATCTTTGATCAATTTCTTTCAATAATTCGGCATTTACTCCAAGAGTTGAAAGAGCAAACAAAAATGTTACCTTAAGCAGCAACAGTTTTAATTTATTCTCTTAATTCATTAGCTCTTTTTTAATAATCTGCACAATTGTTTGAAATTAGTTTTGAAAACAACTATAATAGCATACAAAATTGGTGATCTTGTGTCTTTCTGTTATATAATTTCATTCATTTCTTAGATTTAAATCAGCTAGCTAAGAAAAAAAAATAGTCACCCTTTTTCGCAACCGTTTCTTATACTCCAGAAGCCGGTGCCCATTGGGCTCGCCGATCTTTTGATGCTTGCCACCTAAGAGTCTCTGAAAAAAACATTTAAAAGAACATAATGTCTTTTTAATTTTTAAAATATGGTAAGGCTTATCTCCAGAAGACCCGGTCTAATAAGAATTGCTGATATGAAATTGATACGAACATGGAAGCTATGCGGAATTCGCTGCGAGGATCGCAGGGGAAGTACTTCACTTGAAAATCTAAGTACTAGCACGATTCTAAAACTTCTTTCGCCATAAAGCAGTTTTGAACCGAAATGAAAGTTATAAGCTTGGAGATAATAATTGTTTATTCATCTGTATTTTCTCAGGAATAACAGCTAAACGGAAAAAAACTAATGAAATATCCGGGGATCTGAACGAAACCTTTTCTGACTGGGACTGTAACAGCTTCCCAGATAAAGTTGTGTAAATAAGCAGGTGAAAGAAAATGTCACCATTTTCAGATTCTCAAGCATATACTAACCACCGGCAATGACAAGGAATACTCAAAAATTAAAGCACTGAAAAATAATTGAACTCCGCTTCTGCTTCCATAAATTCACCAATTCTTTCATCCAACCCTTTGTGAGAACCTCCGATACCACCATTGGACCTTTTAACAAAACTGTTTGGAATGGCTTGGCTGGCAGGTTGGGCACCAGCAAGCAAAAAATAATACTTTGCAATGTGAAAAAATTCTGAACCATTAATAAAAAAATATTAAAAAAAATTCGGAAAGGTCAGATTTGAATCATCCAAAACCTTTTACTTTTGTTTGTACCGTATAAATATCATTTCTGTACCCAAAGCATAAAATCCATAACAGCAGTAGGGCAGAATAATTTTAAATGAGCATCTTTAGAATTCCAATACAGAGCGGGTGCTGGAGATAATATTTTTTTTTCTTTACCGTGCTGCCATGTCGCTTTGAAACGCGGGTGTTCAAAAATCATTAAGTGTTACAGAAGAGATCTTAAAAAAAAAAAATTCAATTGAAATTAGGGCTTCACAGCGCAATTTCAGAAGATTACGTTTTCAAATTTCAGGCTAGCACCATTGGGCAAAACATACATATATTCAAGCAGATTCTTCATTATTTAATTTCTTTAAATATAATACAGAGCAATAATATTTGGTGGCCCAACAATTTGAAAAGTGATTCGCCATTTATAGTTTTCAACACAAAATTCCAAAATGAAATTAATAGTCCTTCAGGGCAAACTGTCCCTTTGGACTAACAATAAACCTGATGTCAAATCAGAATCAAATGGCAGAAGGGGGGGAGATAAATGTGTAAAAACAACCATTTTAGCACTGCCACCTATTGATCCATAAAGCAACTACACAGTTAAGTAAGGTAGATCGCCTATTGGGAATTACTATATAATTATTTAATTATCATTATATTACTATTGTTATTGTATGATTTGTATTATATCATCATTATAACAAGATATAATAGTGCCTGCAATATTAAATAATAATAATTGTAACTTTTTTCCGCATCATTCCTATTTCCATTTTACCTGTTTTCATAATGCTGCTTCCTGACATCCTTTCCTCCTAAGCAAATAGCATCTATAATATGCAAGCAGGTGATCTTTCTCTGAGCTCGGCCCTGGAAAAATACTTTTTTTTTTTTTAAATTTGAAAACACTTTAAAATGAAGTAAATTAATAAATGTGCAACAAATCTACTACTTTAACTAACAGCATAACAAAAGTATTATTTATATATAAGCATGATGATTAATTAGAAATATTTGCTTGAGAAACTGAAACATACCTTTTCTCAAAAACTTATAAACTTAAAATTTGACATTTATCATTAAATATGCATAGATTCAAAATTTATCAACATGGTGATAAATACTCATATCTTATAACAGGCTTGTTGAACATATAACTTAAGGGCTACAGTACGGACAATTTAAAGTTTAAATCTAACATGCTTACTATTATTCTGAGTTATACAAAAATTCCACTGTTTAAAAGTGAATAAAATATTTAAAAGCATTAGTATTTAAATAGAGTATAAAGTTGCAATGCACAGTTTATGATTACTTCCCACAGATTGTTGCTTTCATTATAATTACTGTTGAACATAACACAAGATAAAAGTAAAAAATTTTGCAACCAACATTTCTAGTTCTTGTTTTTATTATGTTTTTTAAAGGAAATATATACTGAAACGATTCCGCCTTACCATTTTTTAACATTATAAATAATTCTTCATAAAAGAGATATTATAAAATCATTAGCTATGCTTATTCTAATTCTAGCAGTTAATTTAAAAGTACACTTAAATGCCAGAAAAACTAGTATAATTGAGCCCATGCCAAATATATGGTTAAGTCCCCAAATTCTCTAATGAATCGAATAAGGAATGAGAATGGGAGAATTGGAAATTAGAAAATAAATTCAGCTTTAAAGTTGTCATTTGGAGACCTGGCAATATGAAATGAAATTAAATAATATTAAATAAAGCTTAAACAAAGATGGATGTATTAAAATATAACTTTGCACAGTGATGCGAAGTAAAGTTAACAAAACAAATCAATTCATGATATTAATTAAAAACTTCATCGTACACAATGTTTCAGGTAAAAACATTGTTAAACATTAAAGTACACATAATACACACATTTAGTATTTTAAACTAAATGTAAACTTAGGCACAGAAAATTCACCTTTGCTTTAACTAAAACATTAATATCTAATAAACTATGACAATCAGCTAACCACTGTCGTATTTCCTCACTGAGGTACTTTTAAAGGCATTAGTGTAAAAGCTACTAATAGTCAGTGGGCTTTTACATTTGTGAGTTAAATTATTTTAAATTTTAAAATATATTTTATGTTAGCTGAATTCCACAAACTGCAGATAATACTTTGAAGGCACAAATTGTGCATCTACTAAGTTCAAAGTTTAAAATGAAAAGGTTTATTTAAATCTCCTTTGAAGTCTATAGTTCTTTTCACAGATGGGGCAATATACTATCCATATATAATTTTTAAAGGGAAAATATAATTGGTTTCCTTTGCAATTTTATTTAAAATATTTAAATACTGTATTTTGAGAAGGATTTCCTTTCCGGCATCTAATTAATAGATTCCACAAAATAAAAAAAGGTTAAGAATATCTATTAGGAAAAAAAAGTGCAATATAAAACTATATAGGTATATATATTGAAAAACATTCATACTTCTCCTCTGAGTTCTGACACTAGCTCCCCATAAAATAGTGTGTCTGCAGGCAGTTCTAGAGTTACCTCAACTTTACTCCACTTAAAATTCTGAGGATCATATTGATAAATGTACGACCTCTGCATAAAAAAAAAAAAAATAAATAAATAGATTATAGTCTGCATATATCAAGTTCTATAATATTGTTAAAAAGTTTAAAGAGAGAAGAGTTGATAAATAAGTAAAAAAATTATATACTTATTATTTTTTAATAAAACAAATCATTTAAGCATAATACCCCTGAAGCCTATTTTTACAAAAAAAAAAAAAAAAAAAAAAACTAGCCCATCCCAATAGCATAAATACATTGGAATTCTAAAAAATGACTTCAGAAGTACACTTAGAATAAAAAATCATTTAATGAACCAATTTCAAATGTTTATATTTCCATTCTTCATTGGTATGTAGTTTTTAGACAAATTCAGTTTATTTTGAATGCACACTTTGGGAGGTGGCACATACCTTGTCAAAATTATGTTCAAATCTATATTATATTATATTAAGATGGATATAAGAGATTAAATATTATATTAAAGGTGTATAATATACTATATATTAAATGTGTATTAGATGAACAAATATTTTCTCTATCGGTGATACAAAAATCAGGAAATCAAGAAACTACCATACTTGAGATGCTGAATGACAATTATATTTTTACAATTACAAAAGATTCTGTATAGTTCCACACTACTTTAACTGTCGACTTTTAGAACTGAAAAGGTTTAAAATAAAACCTTTTTATTAACATGTCAGTCTGACGGCTATAGGAAATTGGCAACAGAAACAAAAAATCAAATTTCTAGCTTGTGGGAAACTCAAAAGTTCCAGTCAAATTAAATATCAAATACAAAGTAACAGTAAACAACAGTGCCTAAGTAAACTTTCACTCGGTTCCAATAATTTCATGAAGCAGTTACTGATACCAAAGTTAAAGCTGCTTACATAACTTAAATCAGTAGCAAGAAGTTATCGAAAAGTAACCAGACAGCAATAGCTTCCGACTGCTCTCGCTTGCACTCAGGAATTTAGCACTCAGATACATTAACTAATTTGCATCTGATTTGAGGTCACAAAAGAGAAACAAAAATAAGAGTAAAATTGTAAGATAATTAATTAACATACAATCCTATAATTTTAATTTTCTATTTATGAATATTTTTAATAACTGGTATGCTTGAGATTTTGGTATTAGATCAAACAACAGATGGGGGGAATTCATATGCAGATTATATTTACAGATAAATTTCCCATTCATTTGCATATTTAATTGAAACTGCCATAAAATACATGCAATTAGATTTCCAAGTCTCTTTCATATCAATGAGATAAAAATACTGAAAAAGAGGAAACTTGTTTACGAATCCAATAATAATAAGGCTTAAAAGAAAATGAAATGCCATAATATTTAAAATGTAGAAAGGAAGAATTAAAATAAGGTTTATATCACTTCTTGATTTGCTCTTTACTGGCAGAATTTGTTAAATACCAGAGTCCTTAGAAGTCAATTTTTCTCTCAGATTTGCTTATCTATATTATGATTGACTTCTTCTCATTAGAAACTATGTACAATTGAAACACCATAAAAAAATAATTGCACAGTTGGTGATGTATGAAAAATGTAATAAATTAGTCAAATATTCCTAAATTTAAACATTAAAATTTTAAGGGTTTGTTGGGCAGAATAAATATTACTGCATTACAGTTCTTTGAAACTTTTATTAATTTGATCTGATATGGAGTTACTTTTACATAGAGTTAAAACACATGAAAATTCACCACATCTACCATTTGACATCAGCCTTAAATAAATAACCAGTGTCATAAAAGCATGTACCAGCAGCATATGAAGTGTGCTGCATGAATTCAGGAAAACAAATCAGTTCTTATTGCCGAAGCAATTTTTTGGACTTACGAATGATAAAATGGCACTATACATAATAAGTAAACTGTGAAGCTCCCTAAGCCATAGATGAAAGAGGGACTGGTAGCCTGCTGCAGTGTGTTTGGGTGAACTGGCAT